TAGGCTACTTATTATTATTTTTTTTAATTTCGCCGGCGACAGCAAGTCTTTTATATTTATTCATTAAATTTACTTCATCAGTATTAAAACAAAATGTGTGTAATAAAACCTCTTTATCTAAACTACAAACATTTGTTACGTTAGGAAATAGTACAGAACAATGGACGGCTCGTTATGTATTTATGTCCGCGCTCCAAATCTGTATTTGTCCTATATACCTGGCCCCGTGCGATAGTTCCAACTAGTTAAGTCGTACTAGTTGACTTATTGACCGTTGATTTCTGACACTAAAATATCTGTATAAAACATATCATCGTCCCTGTCTACCATCTTTGACAAAACAGAGATAACAATATGTTTTAAACGAGGATTTTGGTTTTAACACGGTGAGTGTTGGTAAATCGGATAAGAAGGACAACTCACAAGATAGGATTTAAAATTTACGTTTGATAAGAATGAAAGAGAATAAATAAAATCGCCATATCAAAGACCGGCAATGCATCTGCGATTCCTCTGGTATTGATGTCCATGGGCGTTCATGAACACCTCGGTGTTTCCACTGCTCTTTTGACCTCTATTCTTGTAAAAAAATGTGTAATAAAATGTCTAGCAGACGTAAGATATAAAGATTTGTATCAGCAAAGATATAACCGTTCCATTGTCAACTAAAATAGTTTTGACTTGTGCGGTATCATTCTATTATTATTCCCCAGTGTTAAGAGTACAGTCAGCAGATATTTTTTTAATATTTTAATTAACTGCTATTTTTAGGTAACTACTACATTGTAGGTAGAGTCGGCACAAAAAGGCTTCGACTTCCAAATCGATATATTTGCCAATTTAGTCCAAATCCCTTCTTCACTTGTTAACCTTACATTTCATCTCACAAATGAATTTATAATATTTTGATAAAAGAAATCACTTTAATAGCAATCATAATATGAAATAGTTATGTTAACCCGGTTTTTTGGAAGGTTCTCGAAATCATTAGCACGCTACTAGTTGTCGACAGGCGATAGCGCAAACTTTACCTATATTTGAATAATAACGCTAGTATAGTTTTTATGTTTGTTAAATTATTTGTTTTTTTAATCTGTATGGATTTATGAACATGGGCGTCAACGCATCTGCAATTGCTGATGTCTAAGGGCAGCGGTCGCTTCGCTATTTCGGCGAATACAGCTGGTCGATTGCTCGTTTGCGTTATAATAAAACATATTAGTAAGAGTTTAATTTGTTTTGTAAAAGACCTTAGTTACCCTAATTTGATCATCACTACGTTTAACATCATGATTTTCACAATATCTTACTGCTTACTATCCTGGATGGATGCATGGATAGATGAATGTTTATTTGTTTGAAGTTTTAGGAAGAAAATCCGACACTATGTCGGTGTACTAGCGCAACAGTAGCTTTACTAAAATGTCGACGTTTATGTCCCCTCACTAATCATTCTGACGCTTGACTTGACAAAAGCGCGCCATTGGCGCCAAAGGATTCTAACTATTAATGTCTAAAAGAAGGTACCTCCGGAGCGGCTGAACGGATCTCGCTAAAATTTGGCATTGATAACATAGTCTGAAAAAACACATAGGCTATATTAACTCTTTTTTTATTTCTGTGCGGACGGAGTCGCGGGTGACAACTAGTAAAACATATAAATCAATTATCGTAATGGCGTCTATGTATGGAATTTGACGTCTATTTAGTTAAATTAGGCTTTCAATTGTAATTATGGGTAAATGGGTTTTAACACCTTTTGGTGTCTCTGACTGACATTTTGAAAGGCGACATCTTTTGTACTTAATGCATATTTGTTATGTAACTAACGAAAATTAAAATATATCCGTGCGAAGATGTTTTCACAATATTAACAATGTATCTTCAGCCAATCGAGCAATTATACAATGCAATTGTAACCTTATTCCATTGGTATAAAGTTGAAATTACTTTAAGACTGTTGCATTAAGAATCAAACCTTGAACGTGATAGGATCGAGGCCGCTATATTCTTGCGGAAGGTTATGTTGCATGCTTACAGTAATTTTTTTATACTAATACTATCTAATTTACACTTTATTGTTGTCGAAATAGAGTTCAAATTTATTATTCACATAATGTTATAGTAAATCTTAAGCTATTTTAAACATTATTGCATAAAAGATTAGGTGTAAAATAGCTTGTATGTACATCTAGGTCAATTAGGTATAGAATTTTTTGGCATTTAATTGCCATGGCAACGGGATTTCTCTTCCTAGCGCTTAGTAACTGAACGGTACAAAGTGCGGATGTTTTTTGCACGGATTAGACGTAATATGTACCGTTACTTTGATGGGAACCCGAGACTATTTAATGTCGCACTTATTAAGTAATGTCCCTTTATTTTTAAAGTAACTGTCGCCTACGACTACGTCCGCGCGAGATTATAAACAATTTTAATGAGTATCCTACTTGTACTTCTAGACTATGTTCTATATGTATGCCAAATGTCAGCTAAATCCGTTCGGTCATTCCGAAGATACCTTGAAACAAACATCCATCCATCCATCTTATCTTACCTATAATATTACTACCTGTCGCCCGCGACTCCGTCCGCGCGGGATTAAAAATAGACTTTGACCGATTCTCAGACGTACTCAATATGCTCACAAAATTTCATGAGAATCGGTCAAGCCGTTTCGGAGGAGTATGGGAACGAAAATTGTGACACGATAATTTTATATATAAGATAAATGCGTATCTTTAGATGGATCGCTGTTTGGTATCTCCAGAACAGCTGCACGGTTTTCATAGTCTCGAAGTACACATAGACTACTAATTAAGTTTTTTTCAATTCTGCTTGGACGGAGACGCGGGCGACAGTTAGTTTTCTTTATAAAATAACAATTAATATTATTCCTTTTTTAATCTGTGTAAGATTGACGCGTTCTAGTTACAATACAAGAAAATAATAAGCAGTTATCGCCCGTCAAGGTTTCGAGGAAGTTGTTCCAACGTCGGCTTTCTTCGGAAATCTTCGTGCGTGTTAAGGTTAATGATAATTATGTCGCCTGTAATTTGTCTATACAGACAATTTGTGATTTGCCTGGGTAACAAATTAGCATGTTATATTAGGACATGTAAAGGTGACACTTCATTGACTGTCATTCTGTGCAGCCATTAAAATTTTTGGACTAATGAAAATGTAACTAATAAAAAAAAACCTCTTTACAATATCTCTTTAATTTTTTAATTGTACGATATGCAGTACCTTCCTTAAAGGCCGGCAACGCGTCTGCGGTTCCACTGGCGTTGCGAATGACCATGGGCGTCAGATCAAAAAAAAAGTTTGCTATGTCTAACAATTTTCCTGGGCAAATTCAATACACGCGGAGCACACTATTTGCTAGTAACATACATCTCGGCACGCGTCATTCTGATAAGTATTATATCTTAATTAAATGATTTATTGTATTGTTTATTATTTAAAATCAACAATATTCTATGTTGAAATAAACCTAAACATTATTAACACGTGAAGCGTTCGTACCCCCTTTATAAGGGAAAGGAAATTGTTTGTACAGATGAATAAGAAATTTGCCACAATTAAAATTCATGGAGAGAAGTGCATAAAGCACTATTAACAGGGGTTGAAACAAACAGCGTCTATTGCACGAATGGATCGGCTCGCCTGTTGAAATAACACAACCACAAAGAAGACACGCCTCAAGTGGAAGAAATTCCGCGTTTTCCCTGATGAGTTTGTGCCGAAGGCCTAATCTTGGTATACTTTTTTTTATATCATAGGGTGGCAAACGAGCGAGCGGCCACCTGAAATCGCTGAAATAGCGAAGTGACCATTGCCCATGGACATACGCAATTGCATATGCGTTCCCTGCCTTTAATCGACGGAGGAGAGGATGCACAAAAAGAAAATATTTTCCCTTTCCATGCATCCTCTCATCCGGAAAGTCCATTTCCACATCCCATCCTTTCCTTATAAGAAAAAGAGTGGGAAGGGAAAGAGGACTAAATTAGGCCTCCGGGACGCACACTCATCAGACTGCACGTGGAATTGCTTCCACTTGACGCCTGTCTTCTGTGTGGTCGTGGTATTTCACCGGGCGAGCCGGGACAATTCGTGCGAAGATGTTAAAGCGGGCTCTACCACTGTCTTCTTTCCCTTCCCACTCCTTTATTATAAAGAAAGGATGGGAATTCGAGCAGGGAACGTATAAGAATGTGACCACTTGCACTTTTTGTTACCTTAAAATAAAAAAAATATGATTTTTGGTTTAATTTCGACCAATTGCTGGCTGGTAGTTTCAATAAAACCTTACTTATCCGATGAAATATTCGGATGCGGTAAATATAACAATGACCCATTTAATGTTATCTTAGAACTGTTAGAAACGAAGAGATCTGATAATTCTACTTATTGTAACAATTATTTCGTTTTTCCATTCTAATTGCTACAAAAAACTACGTTCAGGTTATATTATAAAATATTAAATTGTTACTAAGAAATAGATTTATATGAATCACGCGAACAAACAAAAACTGGTTGTATTGAGGTTAGGAATTCAAAGATTCACGTGCAAAAGAAACGCTTTATATTGTTTGAATCGACATTTCAAATCTAGTATTTTAAAAGTCGATTCAAACTTCTGTCAATTTCCATGTTTTAGTCAATATTTTATTTGTAATTTATACAAATATTCTACTTGTCAAGCCATCTAATTTGGTAACCATGTTGTGATGGCTATACAAAAATATGTGAACGTCCATTTTATACTCGTTAAATTGAAATTAAAACGATATTACTTACTTACTTACTCCGCTGGCGCATCGACCCAAAGTGGGTCTTGGCCTCCGACACAAGAGATCGCCAAAGAAAACGATATTGAATTTTCGAAATGTAGAAGAAGGGTCAGGCGCGCACGTCTGCCTATCCACTGAGTTAAGATTGTTGTACCCAAATATTATCTTTAAATCTTTAACCAATACTTCGTTTATTTGCAGGCAGTGGACTGGTGGTCAGTGGGCGTCCTTACATATGAGCTACTCACGGGCGCGTCTCCCTTCACCGTTGAGGGTGAGAGGAACACGCAGCAGGAGATCACCAAGAGGATAGTACGCTGCAGTTACCCCGTGCCCAATGAAGTCAGCCCTCAAGTACAGGATTTTATTAAGAAGTGAGTTGTAGTGTTTCACGAAAGTATTTTATTAACAAAACTAGTTGTTATTGGTAGGCTATTTGTTCTTCCAGACTATGTTTTACATCTATGTCAAATTTCAGCGAGATCCATGCAGCTGTTCTCAAGATACCTTCTTAAAACATCCATCCGTCTTTACTTTTGCATTTATAATATTTGTAAGATAATATGTAAGTATAATATTCCAGGCTCCTGGTGAAAGACCCAAGACGACGTTTGGGCGGCGGCGAAGGTGACGCTGAGGAACTCAAGAGACATCCCTTCTTCCAGGTTAGAGCATATTTTTATCTAGAAGTAGTCAACTATCTATCATGTACTATTAAGTCGCTTGGTGGAAAATAGGTTTAATAATCCCTTACTCTACTAGGAACTGGACTGGGGCGCGGTCTCCCGGAGAGAAGTTGCCGCCCCCTTCGTGCCCGCGTTGTCGCACGCGGCGGACACGTGCAACTTCGCGGACGAGTTCACTCGCATGCCGCCCACCGACTCGCCTGCGCAGGCGCCGCGACATCACGATAAATTGTTCCTAGGTAAGAAATTTTACCTAGTTTTGGAAGTCTAGAAATCTTGTCTGGTGTTATAACACCAGGCGTTTGTTGTTAAAATCAATAATACTTGTTTATCTTCCTTTGTAGAAGAACGGATAACCTAATAGTTTTAACGTATAGATGCCTTTGAAATATTTCCTTATGATTTCTCAAAGGTAAAGAAAAGGATTTCGTGAAGAACAATTTTTATTTAGAAATTTTATTATCTGCCTACAATGTAAATTGATTTAATTAATATTCTAGAAAGTATATTTTCTAGGTTCGTTTAATTATTTTAACACATTAAATGCCAATTACACTAAAAACTAAAAACTGTATACATGGATGCATCTTACAATGCAATCAGCGTTGAATGTGTTAAAACTATTATACATAAATATGTTGCAGGTTACTCGTACGTGGCGCCGAGCATATTGTTCTCAGAGAACATAATATCTGATCAGATTTGGATGCAGGCGACAGGACAGAAGCATGATAAACTCAAAGGATGGGTGGCTAAGGTAATTCTTTTCATTCCAAACTCCAAGTTTTAAAATCATATCTGTAATAACTGTAAAATTTTGGTCCATTCATCGTAGGTTTCTAAGACCAAAATGTCCGTTTAAAACATATTGTTATCTCTGTTTTCTCAAACACTACTAGAATTACATTTTCATTGGGTTTTATATGCAAATTTTGGTCTCAGAAATCCAAGATTGATGTACTTTATTTATGTCATCTATTTATATTAATATTTCTATTTAAAATGTTATATTCCTTTAATTCTGTCGTTTTTTACATAAACTAAAGCATTAATATAATTGTTCCAGGACTCTCCATTCTTCCAAAAGTACGCAGTAGACCTGAGCACTCCTCTGTTGGGGGACGGCTCCTACTCTGTCTGCAGGAAGTGCATACACAGGCAGACGGGCAAAGAATATGCTGTTAAGGTATATAGTAAACAGGCTGTTGTCCGCGACTCCGTCCTCACTGAATTAAAAAAAAACTTAATTAGTAGCCTATGTGTTCTTCCAGACTATGTTCTACATCTGTGCCAAATTACATCAAGATATATGCAGCCGTTCCGGAGATACCTTCAAACAAACATCCATCTAAACATTCGCATTTATAATATTAGTAAGATTTCCTTTAGTAGTTAAGAGAGATAAATACTAATAATATGAGTAATCAAAAACTTATTTATAGCCATTTTAGTCTTTACACTATAATTTTAGCCTAATTTTAGTCTTCTTCCCCTTTTGGAAGTAGGTTTGGCTGAGGAGACACATAGGGAAGAGAAATATTTTCTGTGTGTCTCCTTCGTCGATGTAAGCAATACGCCTACAATTGCCCATGTCTATTCTCAGAGATGGCTTCGCTATTTCGGCGAATTTAGGTGATCCTTTGTTCCTTTAAACAATTACATAACACAGTGGCTATTAAAGAAATCCTATATTTGGTTTTAGTATAAGAAAAATACACAAAATATATAATTTGTTATATTTTCAGATAATCTCATCACAAAAGAAGGACGTGAAGCAAGAAATAGAACTGCTGAAGGCATGTCAGGGATGTCCATACATTATCACACTGCACGAAGTCTTCCATGATTCTGTAAGTATTGTAGTCTGCACATATCTTGTACGCTTTGAACTTCTTGTGAGCAAGTGCTCAGAACAATGCTAGGTGTGTTAAAAGGATCTTGGACTGATAAGATATTTGAATAGAACTATAATTGATAAAGTAATATTTATAAGTGATTTATTTTCAATTTGCATTTTGTTTTATACATTTTAATTATTCTATTTTATTGAAATGTTTGTTTGTTATTATTTTAATACAAGCTGTAGCCCGTGACTCCTTCCTCGCGGCATTAAAAAAAACATAATTAACAGCCTATATGTTCTTCCAGAGTATGTTCTATATGTATGTAAAATTTCATCAAGATCCGTTCAGTAGTTCAGGAGATATCTTCAAACAAACATCCATCTAAACATTCGCATTTATAATATTAGTAAGATTTGTATTAGTATTTTTATATGTTCTCAGACTCTTTAAAATATATGTAAATGTGTACTAGATATGAATATCGTAATTTTGAAATCTAAAATCATGTTCTTTCTTAACTAAATTTTACAATTGCTGTAACAAAAACTGATTAAAACTTTTATATTTGATCCATAGTCAATTTTAAAAAAATATTTCTAATTTAAATATTTTGCAGGCATTCACATACATAGTGATGGAGCTAGCTAGCGGTGGTGAGCTGAGCGGGCACTTTGGTGCAGCCGGGCTTGGGGAGCAGGTGGCGCGCCGGCTGCTCACACAGCTCGCCCTCGCTACACGGCACATGCATGCTCGGAGAACTGTGCACAGGGACCTTAAGCCTGAGGTATGAACTAGATATTGAATCAGGTTATAAGACATAAGGCGATAAAAGAGCATCGATGGCTTAGAGGTTAAAGTTAACTTGTAATGCAGGTTTTGGGTTCGAATCCCGCCATGTACCAATGTGTTTTTCGATTTCCGATTTACATATGTACATTTAAACGTTCGAGGACTTACACTTAGTGTAGATTTAATTTAGAATTAATGTATAAATTTTTCTATAAGTTTGTTTTATTTTTTTAGAATATTCTGCTGACATCGTCCCGCTTGCACGAGGCTCGTGTCAAGGTGGTGGACTTTGGTTTCGCGCGACGTCTGCCCGACCACGACGACCGGCCGCGGATGATGACGCCTTGCTTCAGGTAAACTGTTTGCCCGACTACGAAACGGGTAATATTTTTTACAAATATGTATAAAGCATATATCGCCAGTGGACTCCGGCACCGTGAAATTAAAACAAAACTTAATTAGTAGCCATTGTGTTCTTCTAGACTATGTTCTACATCTATGCCAAATTTCAGCGAGAACAAAACATCCATACATCCAAACATTCGTATTTGTAAAATGATTAATGATGATGCACTAGCTGTTGTTCGCGACACCTGCATGAAATTAATAACATTAGTATTCTTCCAGGCTATGTTCAACATCTGTGCCGAATTTCGTCAAGATCTATGTATCAGTTCTGAAGATATCTTCTAACAAACATCCATCCATCTAAATATTCGCATTTATAATATTAGTAACATAATTATTTTAATGTATTGTATTACGATAGTTTGCCGTACGCTGCTCCGGAGGTGGTGTCGTGTGCGCGCTCCTCCTCCGCGCCCGGCTACGGCCCCGCCTGCGACCTCTGGAGTTTAGGAGTTATATTTGTAAGTTGATAACATTTTGCTAGTCATATACTGTACTAAAAACTAGCCTATAACGCCCCCACTTCCATCAGCTATCTTCCAGTTAAAGTCCCGTCAACATCGGTCCACACGTTCCGGAGATTACCCGGAACATACTCTGCCTTGCTGACATATCTACAGATATATATATAGAAATTTTAATAATTATAGAGTTATTATATCAAATACATGCTTTTTATTTCGATACTAGCTGTTGTCCTCGACTCCGCCCGCGAGGAAATAAAAAAACTTAATAAGTAGTCTATGTGTTCTTAAATTATTCATTTTATTTTATGTGTTCTTCCAGACTATGTTCTACATCTATGCCAAATTTAATTAAAATCCGTTAATTCGTTCCGGAGATATCTTCAAACAAACATCTTTCCATCTATCTAAACATTCGCATTTATAATATTACTAAGATTATATACAGACAAACCAATTTTATGATATGTATAGACGATAGTTACATTATATATGTCATTTCCAGTACTGCATGCTGTGCGGCAAGGCTCCGTTCCAGCCGGTGTCCAACAAGGAGCCGGTCACCGCCTTCATGGACAGGATCAGAACTGGAAGCTTCACTATGGATGGTGAGAGTTGTTTTATATCCTGCAGCAAATTCTCACTAGAAATACTGTTATTTGGCACATTTTGAATTCAGAAAGGTAATGTTTTTATCTTGCACTAGTTGTTTCCCGAGATTTTATTAAAATAACTTATTTAGTATGCCGTGTTCTTCTAGGCTATGTTCTATATGTAGCCAAATTTCATTCAGATTCATTCAACCGTTCTGGAGATACCTTCAAACAAATCATCAATCCATCCATCCATCCAAATATTCGCATTTATAATATTAGTAAATTATGTATGTAGGTTTCATTACACACAAGCTTAATTGTATTTTTAATTTCATAAGCACAGAAATAAAAAATCCTCTAAGACGGTCTTGTAACTGATCGGATTTTACAAATGAAGTGGCAACCGATTCGTACTCCTACCGTTGATTTCTTTATAAAAGATATCGTCATCCCAGTCATCTATGACATGATTTTGGTCTCAGAAACCCACGCTTAGTATCATAATAACTAATAGTGCTTCTTATTAATTGAAGTTGTGTTTGTCCAGGTGCGGTGTGGGAGGAGATATCAAGTGACAGCAAGCGGCTGGTGCGCGGCCTGCTGTGTGCGGAGAGCGCGCGCCTCGCCCTGCCCGACCTGCTGGCCGCGCTCGGCTGCAGCGAGGACAGCGCCGCATTCAAACTCGCTGTCAGTACTCTAAAATAACTAATTAATCCTCTATACAATGTTACATTCAAATGTAACTTAATTAGTAGCCTAAGTGTTCTACATCTATGCCAAATTTCTACGAGGTCCGTTGAGACGTTTAAAAGATATACATTTATAGTATTAGTAAGATAGTACGGTTATAAAGAGGAGAGATTTGATTATTTGTTTGTTTGGCACCAAAATAACTGAACTGATTTGCACAACTCCCTAGGTGGCGTAGGCTATATTTAATACCATATTTTTTAATTCCTCGCAGACCAAGTCGAGGACAACTACTAGTGTCTGATACAGCACTGGCGTCCCTAGAACGCACCTTTGTAAATATTAAATATTGTGATTCCAGGATATGACCAAAGCTGATCTATACAAACGTCGACGTAGCAAGAACAAGCAGAGGAAGTCTAGCTCTGATACAGAGGGCGCCCTCGAGGGAGACGACACACAAGAGTCATCCCTCCTCCTAACCATAAACAACCTCAAGAGCAGAATGAACAAAAATTCCATAGAGCACGACGTGGAACTAATACGTGCTAACACGCAGGACACGCCCCTTACAGAACAGGACCAGCCCACTTATGATACAGACGAAGTACCCACGGTCAAACCTGTAGAAAAGACCTACGCAAAATCTAGATCCAAATTAGATGACTACATTTATATAGAAAGCAGTCAGGGTCTAGATGAAACAGAAGTCGCTTTCCCCAAAGGAAGCAGGATAAAGAAGAAAGAATCACAATCGCCACCAACTAAACGGCGGAGAATCGAAACTCGACAATCAAAGAAACTCAACGGCGATACACAGAAACCACCGACTCCAAAACGTGGGAGAGGAAGACCAAGAAAGAGTCCGCAAGAGAAAAGAGTCCTAAGAAGTAAAAGCGTAGAGAAGAAGACAAGAGCCACAAATGAATCGATCGAAAATGACAAAAACACAAAAGTGACACGAAAAAGGAAACGAGAAGAAACCAAACCGGTACTAAGAGAGAAAGGTCAGAACGGACATTCTTCTAGAATTAGCGAGGAGAAGAAGACTAGGAAAATTGTTAGAGCTAAAAGAGAATTACCACAGATTAATATAGAAGATAATGTTAGAATGACTCGTTCTAGACGGAGAAGAATGGAGATCAGTCTGTCTCCTTCTCAAGTCAAGAGCGTGATACCAACATTCTCTTTCGAATCGGATCGTAGAGTCGATTCCGTGGAAAGTGTTACAAATACCAAAGGCAAAAGAAAGACGCAAAGCAAAGCTAAAAAGACACCGGTTAGAACGACGCGCGCATCCAAGCGTAGGTGAAAGTAATATTATCCGGTTTGCGTCTTTGACACACATCGGTCATGTCATCACAGACAAAGCTATGTAAATAAGTGGGCATAAGTCGGCTCACTAGCGCCCTCCTCTTTGTACTGTAGTTGTCATGTCATTTTTGTCTTTTATGTATTTTTCTATGTGTAAGTATCTTTTATATATATTCTGACAGAACCAAACGAGATGGTAACGCCTCTCAGTTCAGATATCCTTGTTGGTCTGTATAGTGTGACTATTAGTTGAGACTTGTTACTTCGATGTTTCAAAAGTTTAAGCAATTTTTCTTATAAAACTCTTATGTTACTTACAATTAACTGATTTTTAAGTTGATTCTGGTTAATTATGCTTTAAAAGAAATGGTGAAAATATTTCTCAGTCCAAATGTACTTTTAACCGTATTCTGTTTTTACAATATAAAAATCTGTAAGACTATATAGTGTTGTCTCTTTCTTATCTCAAAGAGAATGACAGAGATAGGAAACACTGGTCAATAATGTCAATTTTTCTTAATAAATATTTGACAACGATGTAATACAATTTTGAAATCAGTTTAATTTACATATAAATCAAATTTTGACGTGACTGATGTGTGAACGTGAACATTTACCGGATCGTTATAGTATAAGATTTTATTTAAATATAACTTTACGATATGTTACTTATAAATTAAAATTTAACTTTAAAACAAAATATCTTTATTTGTTGGTAATATGTCATAAAGGTATTGTTTAAAAAAAAATCTTATAGTATAGTAAAAAGTAATTCAAAATGGCGTCGTAACCGTCAAATTCCAAATATCCGAAAGAGGAATAGTGATTTTGATATTTAAATGGACGCTTGCTCACGCGTAGAATAATAAAATAAAAATGGTTTTAAAAAAAATTATTAAAAAATCTATTTATTCGAACGGATTGTATAAAACCATACTTTGGTGTATTCAAACTGTTTTTTTTTTTTGTATTTTCTAATTTAATACTTACGTTACTATTAATTTTAGGACAACTCCCGTTTTCCCCTAATTACCATTAGTTTTTAATTAATTAACGTTGTTTATTATATATTTTTTTTAGTTAATAGTTTAAATTAATTGTATTTTAAGTATTTTTGGGCGTGGTTGTCTTGTTAGATGAAATTCCTCTTTACCTATCACCATCCATTTTATGTGCATGCATAGATACGTAATCCGGAGCAAAAAATGAGGCAAAAATATCTCCGGGGCATTTTTTTGGGGAAAATTTCCTCAGTGTTGCCGTTTAGAATACAAAATGACATTTGGAAAATCGACTCTTTATTAGACGTCAAATTTGTATGAAACACTCGTATATCTATGTTTGCAAAGATTATAAATTACCAACCAAAACGCTTCTACGATTTATATATGACTTCATTTTTTTTAAATAATAATTTTCGATGAATTTGAAATGATTTTAATCAAATTTACAATTGCCTTTATTTTTAATTACAATCTGCTCGTCTGTATGTGTTGTCTATTGTTATATTTATCGTTGTACAGATGTGCGTCATTTTTAAAATATTTATTTATAGAGAAAAAAAAATCTTAGACAATTCTAACGTATGAAATTTAGTCACATAATCCACTGAATGCTTTGACTGAAGTTATCTGTATTTTTACAATAAAAAAACATGTAAAGTTAATAATTATTAATTCATAGTTGGCAAGAGTTTATATTAAATCAATATATATTCAATAGACCTCTATGAAATATATAAAAAAAATGATTTTAGTTTGTGCGTGTGTATATCTGTTTGTTTTAATTTCTAGAATTAATAGGATAAATTTGTAAATGTTTCGTTGAATTAAATAGGATATATCGGCGATTCACTTCCATTTTGAAAATTAAAAAAAAAAACGCGGTAAAGTGCCAAAGTTGCTGGGAAATATGCTTCTTATCTCACTATGGTTTTCAATTTGTTAATGGATGTCTTTACCAAATATGACAAGCTTTTTCATTGTAAATAAATAATATTTTGTACAAAAAAATGGTGGAAGGATTAATTATTAAACAGTAAAAGTAATTATTCTGAATTATTTGTAATACATTTATGTATAATACTTTGTATGGGCATAGACAATTTTTTCATCATCTTTTAACTATGAATTTTCAACACGTTTGTAATAAAACATATTTTCATTGTTTTTTTGTTCAATAAGAAAATAACAATATTCTTTGGATACAAATAACAACAGTGGAAACCAATGCTTATATAACTTATTTTGACGAATATTTATATTATACCAATAGTATTGGAGACATTGTTTAAAGTAATTTTTTATTTAGTAGAATTTTTTAAAATAATAAATGGCTTATCGATATTCGCAAATATAGAAAAAATAATAAATATATGTAAATTATATTAAAACTAACCGTGCGCAAAAACATAATATGTTACTCGTATGTACAAAAATATCTTAAATTAGTGATATAGATAGAGGCTATTGACATTTAAAAATTAATTTGGAAGTAATAAATGTATAATTGGTTTAAATTTAAATAATTTATTCAAACTTTTGTGAGACAAACTTATATAAAAAAAGGCTAAAACAGTATGTTCGTCTAGTGTTCACCATGATGAAGAGCGTCCGGACTCGGAACTAGTCGGTGCCAACTCCGGAGGAAGATATATTAAGTTTTAGCCTTTTTTGTATATAAGTTTACATTTGGTTATGAAATATTTGCGAGAATCGATAATCCATATTCTGAATATTATATTGTTATATACATATATATATAATATTTGTTAAATTTGACAAAATGAAATGATAAATGTTTACTTGTTAACAAATATATATACAAGTACAAATAAATATATGAATATCAAAAGCAATATCTATCAACAATGTTATATAATATTTTAACATATAACCGTTGATAAATGAACAATGTCTAAAAAAATAATTCCTATGTATATATCTATGTATAAATTTTTTCATATATGCTGTATATATATATTTACAAATACACTCTTGGTGATGAGATTTCAACTGTTAAAACACCAAGAAAGCTTTAAACATAACAATAAAGGAAGATAACAATTAGCAAGTTAATATGCATCCGTCATTGATTATCTGAAGTTAGCTACAGAAATAATACGTGTTAGAGCGAGACGAACATATACGAAGTTTTAATGTGCGAAAGAGAAGGAACTTTTTCATGTGTTGCTAGCTTCAGAGTGCGAAAATGGCTTGGTATTTGCCGATATTAGTTGCGTGCGGGGAAAATATTAAGCTTACATTAAATCCCGTGTGAATGTTAAATGCTTCAAATTCAAATTGTATACATTGTTTTTCTTGTATTAGATAATGATAGATTTGTAGAACTTCTCTTATTAATTATCTTTGCTTTTTAGTTGTGATAATTTTTAAGCAGATCTTTCATGTTATGTCTGTTGTGTACTGTGTAGTGTAAACAGTTTTATTATCTAATTCTCTATGGTTCGTCTAATACAAGAATGAATGTTGCTTACAGAAGCCCGCGCGTTGTAAAACAAGATAGGAAATTTTGAATTTCCATAGTGTGAGACTAGCCTTTACATCACTTACGTGGTAACGATTTTTGAAGTGCACTTAAATGGATTGTACCAAAAGATTATATAATTTTATAATAAAGTGTTAGAGGTTATTATAGCGATGTCGGCGATTAAACAAATTTTGTAACGCGTTACATAAATGCCGGCCGGAGATATTGGATTGTAATAAATATACCATTTTAACATTTGTCACGTGTTTTATTCGTCGTACTAAACACAAAAATATTTACATTACTCCTATCAATTTACTGCTTTATTTTATATATCAAAAATATGAAGCAATAACTTCAATGACAATAATTTTATTCTATAGTATAAATGAGTTCCTATTTAATGTACAGTCAGCGTCATATAGATCGTCACAGACAAGATATGCAAATATATAGGTACATCAAAAGTAATCAATTATATCGGTACAACATAAGTCCTCAAAATAATAGATACATTCACCCTGCTCAAATACATCGGTACATACACAGCGTCAAATATATGAGTACATGCAAGATGCTCATAAATATCGTAGCAGCCACAGCGTCATAAGTAACGAAGCAGTCAAGGTGCGCAAAAATATCGGTACATTTGACAAAATTGAACTCTATCTCTATATACTTGTGATAAAATTTGGAATAAACTACTTCTGTTACATTCATTTGACACTTTGTATTAACATTATAGGTTGTCCGGAAAGTTCGTTCTGATTTTCGATATAAAGCTTACAATAGTCTGTAGCTGAAGTGGATTCATTTTCGGATTTCCACCATTATCAAACGTCACAAAAATTTCTATATTGTGAATAATTTCATTTCATTGGTTGAGATAAAAACTAATTTTTAAAATTTTAGACAAAAATAAAAGACGTTTTAGGTATAGAGTCGTACCAATATAATTTAAAAACATTTCCAAAAATTTAAGAGAACAGGGTTTCAATTTTCCTAATAAAGCGGCACGAACTTACTGGGCAACCCAATATTTTTCTTCTCCTGTCATAACGCTTAAATATATTATAAAAGTTTGTCACGCCGAATATGACAGATACGTAATAACTAATATCAAATTTTGCCTTGTCACAATATATACTAGTTTGGCGCAGTATTCTAGTATGTTTGCCGTATTATGTAAGTTTACCGGTTCGAATCTCAGGCTACTTTTTTTTCATTTTATCAATCACGGGGTTATTTTTTCATAACCAGTAAAAATTTGGTAATGTAAAATTTTGCTCGACAATTTTTTTTTATAATTTTCGCTGTCGGTTAGAAAGAAATTTAAATAAAGTTAACAACAATTAGGTCAGATCATCGCCGGTGACGTGAGTGGGCGGAGCGTGGATTGTCTTTGCGGGTTTTAAGAATGGTACGCGCGGAAACTATACGTACAAGTGTTATCTACATATGTGTGCGCGCCCACGCCCGCAACACAATGTTTATTGCAATCGACCAAAAATTTGATGTAGTTTGGATATTGACATTCAGTTTTTTTTCTTTGTTTCTTAAATATAATCAGTATCAGTAAAAGGTAAAAGTAAAAGTGTTATTTTTACCGGTACAAGTTTAACAAACATGAGTAATAAACAAATTACATGTCAATAGCATCGCTTTATCTCCTTCATTTTTGTTTGAAATAGAAAAGTACTTTAACGGTCAAACTCAGTCCAAGGCAATATCAAAAAGTACCTAATAACTACGGCGATAGAGTTTAATTACATGTGCTTCGATATTAAAATTAAAAAGTTAAAGTATCAAAAAAAAATAGTTGCTTGGGATTTGAACCGCCGAACTTACGTACCAACGGCGGCGAACGGTAAGGCCACGAGACCAAACTAGCATATATGATGACAAACTTAAATTTGATATTGGTTTTATCTACCTAATATCTGTCATCCGCGTCGAACACTTTTAGTAAATTTTGAAAAATGGTTTGATGCAAAGTGTCAAATGAATGTAACAGAAGTAGTTTATACCAAATTGTATCACAAGTATATAGAGATAGAGTTCAATTTTGTCAAATGTACCGATATTTTTGCGCACCTTGACTGCTTCGTTACTTATGACGCTGTGGCTGCTACGATATTTATGAGCATCTTGCATGTACTCATATATTTGACGCTGTGTATGTACCGATGTATTTGAGCAGGGTGAATGTATCTATTATTTTGAGGACTTTTGTTGTACCGATATAATTGATTACTTTTGATGTACCTATATATTTGCATATCTTGTCTGTTACGATCTATATGACGCTGACTGTACCAGGAAATACAAAATGTGAGATAACCGCCATCTTCTGTTTTAGTAAGTTTAAATACGTCAATTCCGGTGACATCTGGTGAAATTACTATGATTTAATGTTTTGATTATAATTTAATTAATGTTTTATTAAATAATTGAAATGCGTTGCAATTTAAGCACTTTTTCCATATTTAGAGTAAATGGAAAAGCTGTGAAATAAAATTAGAATTTTTAATGATTGCAACTCTGGCACAAAATGGGCGTATCATAGAGACAGAAGACGTGACAAAATATTTTTTATTCTATGGCGACAGACGTCAGGTGGAGGAGATGTCTATTTTGTGTTGTAAAAATAATTAATTTCACGACGTTGTGTGCAACAATTATGTGAATAATGAGATGAAAGTGTAAATAAATGTTAGTTTAGTGCTCAATAGTGATTATGGCGCATAGTGGTGGTGTTCTAAGTTCGGATATATCTCGAAGGAATCCACAAGATGAATACGAGCTGGTGCAACGGATCGGTTCAGGAACGTATGGCGATGTGTATAAGGTAGGAAACCTTTCTAAACTTTATTTTTTCATTTCATTGCGTGATTAATGAGCTTTATATTTCAGTATGTTGCTGATTCACGCTATTGGCGAAAGCTAATAACGGGTATTGAATACGTTTTGTGAATACGAAATCCGTTGGTCTAATATGTGAAATTAAACAGGCAAAAAAAGAGTTTAATGTTAATAATTCGATCATATACACGCTAATGTTCTTAATTGATGTACCGATATAGACTTGGTACGCATTTTCGCAAAATATTTTGTGATGGCACACCCATGTGTTTATAGTTGCACTAAGACAAAGCATTCATCTTTAATTTGCCGTACGTTTTAGACAAGTATGAATACGATTCAGTTGAAAGGATTACCTATTAAAATTAACAATAATATCTAGACTTTCAATTTTAAACATAATGATAATTTTTAAACACGAAAATTTGATAATAACCCACTAATTCTGTGATCTCATTATGTGTTTGCTTAGAGGCTTACTAAATTCGTTACACAATGATTCACATCTTATAACCACAATTTTATGGTTAATGGTCAAGAAACTTAATATTACTTAGGGTATTATGTGAGAATACTTATTTATATTGAACAAAATGATTTATCTGTGCAAAACACATATACAAAACTAAGGGTCACTAATCTTGGTCTTATGTATTCTACATAGATTACGAGGAAATGGTAGACTTGTTAACATCATTTTTTAATTAATTAAATCATCTTTTTTATGTTTCTTTTGTTATTTAACATAATAATGGAATAATCAACTGAACAATGAGTAAAATTATACCAGGTAGTCTAAAAGCTATTGTACTATGATAATTACAATCATTGAAACAATGCATCACAACAGAAATTAAATGACCTTGCCATTGCTGTGGCTTTGTAACATACATTGTGACATTTTAATGTTATGTCACACTAGCAATTGCCCCAACTCCGTTATGCAGAATAAACTAGACTTAATTAGTAGCCTATGTATTCTTCCAGACTATGTTCTACATCTATGCCTAGTTTCAGCAAGATTTATGCAGCTGTTCTGAAGATACTTAACAAACATCCATCCTAACATTTGCATTCATATTATTAGTAAGATTTACACTATTGAAATATTTGTATGGAATTATGATGTCTTAAGTTTTAAGATATAGAAAGATTTCCTAACAGCATGTTTTTATATTATTTTTTAAAATTTAGATAGTCTAAATTAATTTATTTTTATAAAATGTGATCAATTGTTGATTAATTTTAAAATGTGTTTGTTTTCCTTTTTGGTTATAATTTCTTGTAAATCTACCAACTATTTTCTATAATCTGTCAAGTTTTAATTAATTGTTTAATAGTGTGACTATCTATATAAAAACTATAGACACCTAATCCAGAGCACAAAATTGTGGTAAATTCTCTTAGTGTTATTTAAAATACAAAATATAAATCTACGCTAGATAAAGGGTGAAACTTGTATGAAACACTCCATTCTTCTACTATTAGTACTTCTCCCAAAGTGGGTCTTGGCCTCCGACATAAGACATCACCAAAGTCGCCTAACCTGTGCGATCTCCTGCAGGTCTATCTATAGGTTGTATAGTTATGGTTCAAAACTTTACTTTTACCACTTGCTTGTACACTTGTATTTTTATACAGGCGTTTTGTGTGAAAACTCATTAAAAACATCAAAATTTTTTGATGAAGGTGGCATATGGCTGAGAAGAAGAAAAAGAGGATATGGCAATTCATTTGCCATGGGCGAAGTACGATTGATGTGGCATAAATTTACATAATTAAACACAGATTAAAAGTCCTTGAAGTTCGTACATAATATTACTTGTCTATGATTTGTTTCCTCGTGTCATATGTCATTGAATACGGTTAACTGATGTCGTCACTCATCGATGTCGGCCTGCAGGCTGTGCTGGATGAGGTGATCGAGACTAATTAATCCAATGTAGGGTGACCATATATGACAAATATATATTTTTTAATATCATAACTTGGCAAACAAGCGAGACATCACCTGAAATCTCTGAAATAGAGAAGCAATCGTTAAACATAGACATATTAGAGATATGCGTTGCCTACCTTCAAACGACGGGATATTTGTTCTATTAACAAATAGTTCTATTTTCAAATATCTTGGCGGCTCGGATCTTACCACGAGGCGTTCCGAAGAACACATTTTTAGGTGCCGAGAAAGGGCACCGTAAAGTTGTGCCTTCAATTAGGTTGATATGTCCTCTCACCCGAAATATCCAATTCCTCATTCTATTATTTTCCTGTAAGTATGGGAATTGAAAGAGGTCTTTTGTTTCCCGGTAAGTTCAGAAACTATGGTTACCCTTGTTCAATTCGTGACTCACAAACATAGAGCTGTCTCGCTCTGTTGAACACAAAACGAGTACAAAAGTATTCGTGTTTTTGCGGCATTTGTTTCATTAGTCATTGCTACCGGTTTTCGGGAGCGTTTTGTCATATTTTAGTGAATAGTTAAACTTAACCTTACTTAATAATTCTATTATTAAACTGAAAAGTCTTGAATTCCGCTGTATTCTTACTCAATGCATACCTTGACATTGGATTACTGTACGCTTTTAGAATATCTTTGAACTTGAACACATTGTTTACGTGATTATAAAACGAAAGAGGTTTCCCCGCGTTAATATCAAATCACGAACCTTTGGTTTTTTTAGACCATAATTTTTGCTTCGTTATCCCTGTCTTTATCTTTGACAAAACAAAGATAATATATTTTAAATGGATATTTTGGCCTCAGAAATCCACGGTATTTACGACTTTTTTCTGTTTTTATTTTATTCTTGTATAATATGTTTGTGTTAGTATTTAGTTACAAGGAATTTTATGCCGCAAGGCACAACAAAAAGGCAAATTTTGCAAATAAAAAAAAATTGATTTGAATAATTGGTTATAGTTTCTAGTTTTATTATTAGGGCATACTATATTTAAGTGATATTAATTATATTTTAACTAACAGTTGCCCGCGACTCCGTATTCGCAGAATAAAAAAAAACATAATTAGTAATCTATGTGTACTTTCAGGCTATGTTCTATATGTATGTCAAATTTCATAGAGATTGATTCAGCCGTTCTGGAGATACATTCAAACATCCATACATCTAAACATTCTCATTTATAATATTAGTAAGATAATATAGTCTAATTCTAGTAGACGAGGGCTTCCAATCGTAGTGGAGTCTGACCCTATTTTATATTTGAGAATTTTGAAAATGTACCGCGCACATTTGTGTAGTGAAAATATCCTTTAAATTTAAACTGTCCTTGTCCATTTGAATAAAATCTTAGATAACAATTGTATAGGCAATTGATATAATGATTGTTTCGCTAGATCAATAAAAACAGCGCAACACGAGACTTGGTGCGAAGGTCGAAAGCAAATGATTGAAGTGTTGGTAATTGTTGCGATTCCTAGGTACGTAATCAGTAGTCTTACTAATATTATAAATGCGAATGTTTAGATGGATGGATGTTTGTAGAAATCTCCGGATCTGCATCATGGATATTGAAGAAATTTGACATATATGTAGAACATAGTCTGGAAGAACACATAGGCTACTTATTATTATTTTTAGGGTTCCGTACCTCATAGGAAAAAAACGGAACCCTTATAGGATTACTTTGTTGTCCGTCCGTCCGTCTGTCAAGACCCTTTTAATATTCGCCTCGCGGGCGACTGCAAGTATTCAAATAAAGACAGCGGTTGCAATTTTAAGATTTATGCTAAGTATGGGTTTCTAAGATGAAGTAGTAGAACCTATCCCCTTGGGAGATAGGTGTAAGTTATGTTGTTGGGTTTCCATTAGCTAAAATACTCCTAAACATGTCAAGCGTCACATTCGCATAATAAAGGAAAATCTCCGTTTTTCAAAGTGAACAGCTAAAAATCGTGATTAATGCTGCCGTTCTGGAGATACCAAACATCCATCCATATAAACATTCACATTTCCAATAGTAAAAAGTAAGATTGTTATCCTAATCTTTTGCATTACGCTGAATTTTAAACAACGTATGTTTAGTCTAGCTTAAAAAAATCCTCACGTGCCAAATTAAAGTTACCGACCAGAGTTCGTAGCGTGACCACTTGACTAAATAATTGCTTTGGCTAAATTGTCGCCTCTAAAGTGGGGCATGACTGGTAGGGGGGTGAAGGGGGACTCCATTGTTAGTAACTTATGAAACGTCTTTGTGTATCCTTATACGAATATATTGTAGGGAAATCAAACGGCAAAATTAGATTAAGTTTTCACTGCCCAAAGAAATGTATAAAAAACAGCTGTCGCCTGCGAATCTGTCCGTGCGGAATTAAAAATTAACATAATTAGTAGCCTATGTGTTCTTCCAAGCTGTTTTACGTCATGCCAAATTTCAGAGCTATCGGTATGTCAGTTAAAAAATGGAGATAAGATGTTTTTTGTGGATAAACTAATATAAAAACAGCTAAACGGCGGCTAAAAAACGGATATTTTCATATAGCACATGCTTAGAAATTCTATAGTTCGCTGACCGGTGTTAGCGTGCTCAACGGTTCGCCTGTCTCGAGTATTTAAAATTATAACCTAATTTATTGCAAGTAAGATAAATATTTAATTATTTCACTTGCTAAGGGTTGTTGAGTTGTACCGTAGAAACTCACGTTAAATGAAAACTGATAAAATGTAAAATTGTGTATTCAATTTAATAAAGTTCAAGATCACATCTCACTTGTTACTAATATTATAAATGCGAATTAGATGGATGGATGGATGTTTGAATGTATCTTCGGAACGGCTCAAAGGATTTTGATGAAATTTGTTATAGATGTAGAACATAGTCTGCAAGATCACATAGATTACTTATTAAGTTATTTTTTTATTTCCTCGCGATCGGAGTCGCAGACGACAGCTAATACGAAATAACTTTCAGATCAATCTTAATACAAGGATCGTATTTTGATTTTGACCGTTAATCCTTCCTCAT